CTCTCGTCCGCGACGACTACACCCAGAGAAGCTGCGACTCGCCAAAGCCGAGTTTGACCACATGCTGCAACTCGGAATCATCCGACCTTCAAACTCATGCTGGTCTTCTACCCTACATTTGGTCCCCAAGAAATCCACTGGTGATTGGCGACCATGCGGTGACTACCGAGCACTCAACTGTTGTACAGTACCTGACCGTTACCCAATACCGCACGTCCACGACTTTGCTCTGCAATTACAGGGCAAGACTGTGTTCTCCAAAATCGACCTCGTCCGAGCTTATTACCATATACCGGTTGCCACTAACGACATTCCTAAAACGGCGATTACTACACCCTTTGGTCTATTCGAATTCACACGCATGCCCTTTGGTCTTTGGACGCTCGCTCAAACGTTCCAACGCCTCATAGATCAGGTACTGCGTGGTTTAGACAACGTTCTTGCTTACATTTACGACGTGTTGGTGGCAAGCAATACGATCGAAGAACACAAGCTACACTTGCAAGTCGTCTTCGAACGTTTTCAATAATATAGTATTACTATCAATCCAGAGAAGTGCGTTTTCGCAGCACACCAGCTTGACTTCCTCGGACATTGCATTAATTCCGAAGGAATCCTGCCGCCGCCAGATAAAACCGCTGCCATTTCGGACTACCCCTTACTTCAGTCAACATGAAGCCTGCGGCGATTTTTGGGGATGGTCAACTATTACAGCAGATTCATCCCACACTGCTCAAAGATCGTCGCACCACTAACCGACCTGCCCAAAGCAAACAACAAACGGTTACAATTCAATGACCAAGCTACCACTGCTTTCAACGCCATTAAAACCGCTCTTTCGGAAGTCACCACCCTGGGTCATTTGAACCCCAGTCCTGATTACCGACTCATACTAAAAATGGACGCATCACAGACCGCTGTTGGTGCGGTCCTTCAGCAGGTAGTGAATGACAGCATTCAAACCCTCTGTTTCTTCTCTCGCAAACTGCAACCCGCACAAACCCGCTACAGCACCTTTGGTAGAGAGCTCCTAGCGATCTATCTAGCGGTCAAGCATTTTCGATACATTCTCGAAGGAAGAAACTTCACTATCTACACGGACCATAAACCTCTCGTTTTTGCCTTGAGAACATCTCAAGACAAACATTCACCACGAGAGAACCGACATTTAGATTTCATTGCTCAGTTTACAACTGACATACGCTACATCGAAGGGTCTGAAAACGTCGTTGCAGACGCCCTCTCCCGCATTGAGATAAACAACATAGCAACGATTCCAATCGACCTACAAGCCATTGCCTCTGATCAGCTATTGGAACCCGAATTCCCGAATTTTTCCAGCCTTCCATCTCTCAAATTCGTCACACTACCGCTCCTCAACTCTGACAGTTTCATTGTTTGTGACATATCCACAGGACGCCCAAGACCTTTTGTTCCTGAAAAACATAGACGCTCTGTATTCGACCACTTCCACTCACTTTCTCATCCCAGCATACGAGCAACTGCCAAACTGGTGTCACAAAGATACGTTTGGCCGAATATGCAAAAGGAGATACGCACTTGGGCCAAGCAATGTCTTGACTGTCAGAAGAGCAAGATCCACCGACACACCATTTCTCCAACTGGTATTTTTCAGCTTCCCGACTCACGCTTTCGAAATGTACACATTGATCTGGTTGGGCCGTTGCCCCCATCCAGAGGTTTCACACACATACTCACCTGTGTCGACCGTTTCACACGCTGGCCCATGGCCATTCCGATCAACGACACCTCTGCCGAAAACGTTGCTAGAACGTTTGTCGATAGCTGGATCGCTACATTCGGTGTACCCGCTACCATTACCACTGACCGAGGTCCACAATTCACTTCAACACTTTTTCATGACCTCAAACGACTACTTGGTACAGACCACTTCCGAACAACTGCATACCATCCGGCTGCCAACGGCATGGTCGAACGCTTCCATCGACAGCTTAAGGCATCGCTGATAGCCTCGTCTAGCACACACTGGTCGGAACGCCTCTCACTCATTCTTCTCAGTATACGCAATACTGTTAAAGAAGACTTGGGCTGCACAACCGCTGAACTCGTCTTCGGCACTACCTTACGTCTTCCAGGTGAAATGATAGTCGACTCTGCAACAACTGGTGAAACGGACCCTAATTCCTACGCTTCCAGGCTTCGCCAATACATGCGTGATATCCGTCCTTCACCTACTCGACAAACTCGCAAGCCTACTCATGTACATCCCGACCTTGCTACATGTGACTATGTTTTTGTGCGCGTCGATGCGGTCAGAAAGCCCTTACAACCGCCATACGAAGGGCCTTTCAGAGTCATTTCTCGGAATCACAAAACTTTTGTCATTGATCGTAACGGCCGCAAAGACACAGTTGGCATCCATCGACTAAAAGTTGCTTACATGCACACACGACCAACCTCTGATGACGAGCATACTACGACCCCCTCCGTTACAAACCCACACAGTCACACGATCCCTCCTTCGACCAGTGCCACCACCAATGCCACACACACACTCCTTCACTCAAAAGATCTGGTCGACATTGCAAACTTCCTGTTCGTTTCAAAGACTAACTGTCGTGACGCATTTCCTTTTCGAGCGTCTTGCTCACCCATTTGACGCTCTAGGGGAAGAGTTCTGTGACACTTGTAGGCTGCTCTTTTTCATGTTTGATCCCAGTAAACACGTCACCGCGGCACCACCGGTGGCAAATAGGGGTGGCATGTTACACTTGCCACCGATGGAGCCACCGGTGGCTAAAAGCGACCAAAGGTGGCAACCCAAAAATCTCATGATATATTAAATCGGTGGTGCATTCAAACAGATCGGTTTCAAAAATCCCTTCGTAAACAGAGCTCCAGCATCCAGAATATCCTGTAAAATTTGTTTTCAGAAGTCTTTTATGCAACGCATGCCACGTTTGGCTTATATTCACCAACAAACTCAGTGGCAAAGCTTGCCACCTTTCGCCACCGTTAGCTATCGGTGGCACCGTTCTTACTGGGACTTCTTTTTCCCCATCACTATCAGTCACATCGCTGTACAAAAGTTTGTTTTGCTGAAATACAACCGCTACCGCCCGCTTGTTGGCTCCAACGTGACTTTGAGACTTTTGCTGAGTGACTGTTGTTGTGACCGCCGGTTGGCTATAATTGACTGCTACTAACACTAACCGTGAACGAAAATTTCAGCTACAAAAGCTGGACTAGTATGTTCACAATTGTGGATTAATATTTCAATCACCGGAGATCTGGAATACCAGGAAGATAGAACTATTCTTGGTGTGGTGGTTCAACGGAATACGGAACCACGGAATCTCCTATTGTGAACTGTGAGTCAAGATTTACTTGGATTTTTTTCCTTGTGACCTTGTATTTGGCTTACATTGGTAATTGTTCTGTCCACTAGAGACTCCACAGGGCCGTTAACCACTACAAAACCCTTACCCAGGTTCCTTCACAAGGGTTTCGGAAATCGCTGGACCAACCAGTCCCTTTAGTTCTCCTATGACTCCTTCGGCTCCCTTCGCACACAGCAATATTTCACTGGGTCCAGATATCATAAAGTCAACCAAGCTCTTGTAATAAGGCTCTCCTTTGAGTTTTGCATAAAATTCCTCTGCTTCCTGCTTCGTGAAAGTATGGGAAATTCTTCGAATGATCGAAATCCCTTTTTCTTCAAGCTGAAGCATAACTTTTAACCTCCTGATTGAAGCGTACCTCTGCAATGAGTTCTTCTGTTCTACCTGACTGAACGATGTCTGGCTTCAAAACAGCTACTGTGACTTCTTGAGGGACTTCTAAAAAGGTCAATATATTTCCCTCCATCGAAATATAAGAATCAAACCTTCCTCCTCCTCTCTTCGTCTTCTTTCTTCTTCTTCTGCTAATTCTTGTGCTAGAAATACGGGATCTCTGATCTGAACAAACACTGCATTGGCAGCAATTAAATCTGTACCTCAACACGCTCAGCCTCTCCTCTCAAAACTTCATGCTCTTGCTTTAATTTTTCTAAAATATTTCTCTCCAATTCCGGCGGGTTCACGCCCCTGATTGCAGCGACGAGTTTCCCACACTAAAACTCAGGTAGAGTTGGGATTGATCTGTTTACTTACACCAAAAAACAAGAAGCAAGGTTCACATTTGCCTCGGTACTTTACTAAGGAGTCGATTTTGTCTGCCTTAGCTATGGCAAAGTTAAGTAAATCGTCATTCAGTTCTGTTTTCATTCGTCGGAATATTCCGGCAGCTGCTTTACAAGGCCCTGCCCAATCCTGATAAATGTCAATTACTGTGAGTAAACCCTGGGCACAACGCGAAATACTCATAAGTCCTTCTCTTTGAAGCGCTCTTTCCCAATCTTCTTGTGTCTCTATCTCCTCTTGTAATGCAACTTCTACCTTTTTCTTCGCCATCTTTCTTTGAAAAGTCGGCGAGGATTGCTATGCCGCTAGTATTGCATTTAATAGATTTAAACAAGGTTAGTGTGAATATGTTGGTCCTAGAATGGAACGCCAAGGATTGGCAAAATGGACCCACTCCATATTTGGTACCGGTGTCCATGTCTGGATGGCTGAATAGGAAACGAGGTGACAAGACATCATCATTCGGTTGTGGTAAGCGCTTAATTGAATCGTCTATTTGATGGGCACTGTAGTTCGAAATCCATGTAATGCGGTCTTCCGTTGAAGGGGTTAGAGACTTCAACCTTAGCCGGAGGTTTCGTTCACGTGGGACAAAAAATGAACAAGTCCCAAACTATAGCCCCGAGGAATCCCAATACCGACCAGAGCGGAACAGCGGGCTGATTCAATTTTCACGTGGTGCTTAACACATCAAGCGAAAGTCTCAGCCGGGATAACATTTATCCTCTGATTCCTTCAAGTCGCGAGTCTTTGTAACATTGAAGCGAACGGAACAAAAATAGACGGCTTTGAAAAATAGCAATACATGGCGTTCCCTCGAAGTTTGTCTCTACCCGGGTGTCGTCGTCGCCATTGTATATTCTTTTTTATATCCTTTTATATTCTTTTTTTAGAACAAAGGGGAGGACAGCTGTCATCCACCTGTATTTCTTAGTGTTGTGGGACAAGTGACAACCAGAATAAGGCCAATCCAGCTACAGACAAACAGCAACGCTGCTCCTTTTTGGTTTT